CCCGGGGCCTGGCGGAGCCTCCGCACCGGGACCCGCAGCCCGGGGCCCTCGGAGCGCCCGGCGCCTCCCGGCCTCCCCGTCCGGGCTGCCGGCTCCCTGCTGGGCCGCCCTGCACCCCCCCGCCCCGCGCTGTAGGCGCTATAGGCGCTATAGGGGCTATAGGCGCTATAGGGGTTATAGGCGCTATAGGCGCTATAGGCGCTATAGGCACCTCTGGGACCCCGGGACCCCCTGCCCGGCCTCAGCCCCGCGTGTATCCCGCACCTTGGTGTCCAGGGCTGCGGTTACTGCTCAGCTGGGGGCCCTGTGGCTTTAGTGTCGGCTTTAAAACTGGCCTGAGAGCAGCTTTAAACCTCCAGCAACGTTTAACCTCCAGCAACGTTTCTCCATTCCAGGTGCCGACTGCCGAGGGATGCGGACTGGAGATTAACGGTCCGAACCCGGAGTTTGGAGCAGCCGATGTGGCCTGATCCAGGTTTCTTCATAACTCAGACTTCGCTTCTAGTAAATGGTACCTTATCGTCCTCCTCTTTCTTTAAATGGTATAGATTGTTCTAATATGGACACAATAGAGATTTATTGTATGTAGTACCAAGAAGGTGTTTAAAACTTTGGGATTGTTGTTGTTGCTTAAGCCGTGGCCAGCAAGACCTACAAAACGTAGGTCTGGGCTAACGTGCCCCTGAGCTCCGCCACACAAAGGCACGGCCACAAATACCCTAAAGATGCTGCAGGATTTTTGTCCCGTTAAGGCAGCAAAGAAGATGCAGCTCTTGAAAGGAGCTGGTGATTCCAGCACAGATTTCGGCATGAGGGGATCTAGATAAAATCCCCCTTTTATTGGAATCCTTTGGGCAGATTATTGAACGTCTCTGTAAGTGTATTGCCCTGCCTGGGAAATAGGTGTAAAGCCAAAGGGATGCGAATTAAATTCCGTATAATTTGCCTTGGGTTGGGAGAGAAGCACGAGGAGAGGCTTTGTGCTCGCCCGAAGCCTGTGTACATCAGACTGCAGCCTCTCCATCCCCCGTAGCCCCTCACTGAGCTGCTGCACGTCCCAGGAGTGGCGGGAGCTCTGGGAGCCGCATCCGTAGCCCATGGCTGGCATGGGAGGGGACGCAGCTCAGCGGGAAGGGATCAGCACAGCTGCCTTATCCTGCTTTTCCCCCCACGCGACAGCGTGCCGAGCAGACAGCCCCTAACGAGAGCCCCTCTTTCCTCTCCAGCGGTAAGGGCTGAGGCGGCAGTCGCGGCTCCGAGACCAGGCACGTGGAGGAGCAGCCCCCGGGCCCTGCGTGGCTATGGCCGGCGGCCGGCGGGGTCCCAACCGCGCGTCCTACTGCCGGACGCCGCTGTGCGAGCCGGGCGCCGCGGGCGGCTCCGGCCACGCCGCCAGCGCCTCCGTCACGGGCGTGCGCTCGCGCACCAGGTGAGCCCCGCGCCGCCCCCCGGACGCAGGCGGGACCCCCGCGGGGTCTCCTTCCCGCCCCGCGCTGCCGCTGCCCGAGTCCTTGGGGGATGTTTGTGACCAGGCCCGGGCGACGGGCTGGGATCTGGAGATGTTACCGGTGCTACGCGGCTCGTCTGCGCGGAGCGGACACCTGGGCACGCTGACCTCTGAGCAATGAGTGCTGGTGGCTGCTCCATCTGATCCCGGGTCAGGCAGAGCAGTTCCCGAGCGCTCCGTGCTCCTCGTGCCCGTGGGAGTCTGGGTGCTCCGGTGCTCCTTGGTGCTCCTCCCGTGGTGGAGGGGACGTGTCCCCAGGGGATGCTGCTGAGGGGAAATATCCTGAGTCCTGCAAAAGTGCCCGGAGATCTTGTGTGCTCAGAGCAGAGGGGCCTCGTAGCTGTATGTGAAGCCCTTTCTGAAGGGGCAGTGTACAAGAATGGTGTTTATTTTATTATAATGGGGTATTATTTTATTTATCAGCAGAATTATTTTATTTATTGGCAGAGAAGCTCATCAGTCCTGTGAACTTGGCAAATTGGGGATGTGAGAGAGCGCTGAGGTTCCTAAGTCCTCATGCCAGCCCGATCCAAGGCTGTCAGGCTGGTACTTTAAAAGCCTTTAGACCTGCCCGTGTCCATCCTGGCCAAGAAGTTTCCCTGCAAGATTCCCTCCAAGATTTCCGTGGTTTTGGGCATTTTCAGGAGCAGTTTGGCACCTAGTGCCCTGCAGCTTCTTTGAAACCCACGCCCAGATTCCTTTGACTATTGTTATTTAGAGATTGCAAGTCAGGAGAGGTACATCTAGTGCATATTAATCCCCTTCCCTTTGATTAAACGGGTGGGTGTCTGGAATTGTGTGCGTGCTCACACAGGAGCGCACACCTCCGACTAAACTTGTTTTTCCTCCGTAATTGAACAGAACTTGAAGAATGAGAAAGGGCTTGTGTGTAATTGCTCTGTATTTTATGTTCAAGTGCTCTTGGAAACATAAATTGCAACTGGAGACCTAAAAACACTTGCAATCAATTAAAAAGACCAGTGCTTGCCCACCGGGCAGCACGACACAGCCACAGCTTTGGAACTTGACCCCAAATAGGGGATTTAGCATCGAGTGACCTGCTTCCAACTATTGCTTTGCACGAGCAAATTGCTGCTGCGTGCAGACATCCTCGGGTGCTGGCGCTCTGGGGTTGTGGCCACCGTTTCCGAGGGCAGTTGGCTGAAGTTTTGCAGTCGCTATTAGAGCCGCCTACCTGTGTGACGGTGAGGGCTGCAGGACGGGGCTGCGTTTAGCTCGGGGACGTGACTGGCTTTTGGTTCCCCGCGTCAGGAGCGGTTCAGGGACCGGCCTTTCCAGCCCGCCGCTGGCAACGCAGACGGTCGTTCCCCTCCGGCACTGCAAGATCCCGGAGCTGCCCGTGGAGAGGAGCGTCCTGTTCGAGCTGCAGCTCTTCTTCTGCCACCTCGTTGCTCTCTTTGTCCACTACATCAACATCTACAAGACCGTGTGGTGGTACCCGCCCTCGCATCCGCCGTCGCACACCTCGCTGGTAAGCACCGCGGCGTCTTGCCCCGCTCAGGGACTCGCTCTTGGGGCTTCTGTTATCCCTGTTTTGTGCAAACTGTGTGTGACTCCACAGTCCTGCAGGATTGTGCCTCGTTTGGCAGTTGTGGGACACCGTCTCTCCGCTTGGAATTCTTCTCCTGGTCTTGGAAGAGAGAGCCCAGGGAGAAACGCTCATTTGGGGAAGCTTTGTGCTCCGTGGTGTTTCTGCTGGCCGATGGAAAATGGAATCATGTTCTTTTTGTCACTGCAGAATTTTCATCTTATTGACTTCAACGTGCTGACGGTGACGACCATCGTGCTGGCACGCCGGCTGATCGGGGCTATTGTGAAGGAGGTAACGTCCCCCCGGGGTCTCGGAACCCTCTCTCCTATGAAGTCAATGCCAGACTGTCCCTCCCGCAGTTTCAAACTCTTCTGCCCTTTCCTAAAGAACTTTGTGTTAGGTTTAAATGAGAAACTGAGATCAGAAACTTTTTGTTTCCAATTAACCAACCCGCATAGACTGCAATCTTACCACTTGCTTAGAACAGTGTTTGGCTCTCTTCTTTTTAAATTCTTTTTGTTATTCTCTGAGATTTGTTCTCTCTAGCTTGCCACAAGGAGAAACAAACCTAGTTTGGTTTCTGCTGAGTGCAGAAATGTCCCAGAGAGCAGGCTGGTCACGTAGGTAATTGCTAGAGTTTAACCCCAAGGCTCTGGAAAAAGGGCCCTGGCCCTGGGCTTTGGAGAAGCCCGTCCAGAGGAGGCATCTCCTTCATGGTGACACTCGAACCAAGCCTCCCACCAGCTCCTTCTCTGTGCACGGGAGTGGGGCTGCTCCTTTCCTGTTTGCTTGCTGGAGGAAGAGCGAACAAGCCTTCCTCCTGCCCTGCTTCTTCTCTCCCGGCAGGCTTCCCAGAGTGGCAAGGTGTCCCTGCCCCGCTCTGTTTTCCTGGTGATCACTCGGTTTGCTGTTCTCACTGGCACAGGCTGGAGTTTGTGTCGATCAATAATTCACCTCTTCAGGACCTACTCTTTCCTCAATCTGCTGTTCCTGTGTTACCCGTGAGTATCTCTCCCTTCCTTTGTGTGTGATTTCCAGCGTTGCTTCCACATACTCATATTTCTCAGATGCAGTGAAGCTTGGAAGTAAAAAAGTGCTCCATTTCCCAGTCACAAAACCTAACCAACCCATTTGCTCCTTGTTGGGTCGCACTTCCTCTTGGTTGCAGGACATACCTTTATCATTTATTTGCATTTCAGCATTAATATAAGTGTTAATTGTAGTTATTAGGCTGCTCATGACCTCTCAAAGGGCTCACCTGCTTTTTCCCTGGTAAATTAGGAACCCATTTTTTCAGTTTCCCTTCGTGCTTAGGTACCTCTCCCAGATAGAGTGCATCAAACAAGCACCTTCCCCGCCTTATTTTAACCAACATAAGGAAACCACTTCTATTTCCAGTCCAGCAGTGGAATTGCTCTCTTCCCCCTGGAAGATGCAGGAGGAAGCAGCTCGTAAAGATCTAAGACCTGGTGCTCTTAAAGGTGGCCTGAGTGGATGGGTTGAGGTCACATAGGTGGATAGGCAGGCGAGATGGTCTGTGCTGAGGTGCTTTGGGTGGCCCTACGTGAACAGATGATGTGCAAGGGATGAAGCAGGCCAAGGAAGGAGGGATGTTGGATGCTGGAAGCACCGCTGGTCGGTTGTTGGCATGAATGTCGCTGGCTTTCTTGTGCCCTTTTAGGACCCGTAGAGTTAGGGGGTCTGGTTAGGGCTGTCATTTGTTTGGTGTCACTTGTCCACATTCCAGGTGCTCTTTTTTCGGGGGTTCACCCCGGTGCTGGGTGCCGTTTGGGCGGGAGCTGCGGCGGTACCGGCACAGGCTGCCGAGGAAGTAACGGGCTGCGTGTGTTCCCGCTGCGCCAGGTTCGGCATGTACATCCCCTTCCTCCAGCTGAACTGCGACTTCCGCAGGACGGGGCTCTTCTCCCAGGTGGCCAACATCGGACCCAGGGACACGGGGGAGGCGAACTCCAGGAGCAGAGCCTACCTGACGGTCCTGAAGGAAACCTGGAAGCAGCACACGCGGCAGATGTACGGCATGGAGGCCATGCCCACGCACGCCTGCTGCCTCTCCCCGGACCTCATCCGCAACGAGGTGGAATACCTGAAAATGGACTTCAACTGGCGCATGAAGGAGGTGCTGGTGAGCTCCATGCTCAGCGCTTACTACGTGGCCTTCGTGCCAGTCTGGTTTGTGAAGGTGCGTGAGGGCCAGCGCTGCTCGGGCAGCTCTGCACATGCTTTACCCACCTCCTCCTGCCCTGGTGCTGCCCAGGGAATCTTCCCGGCTCCCTATGGAGCTGGAGGACTCCAGGGTGACTAGTCCTTGGTGCGCTCATCTTGGGAGGGCAGAGCTCCAGGACAGGAAGATACTGCTTTAATAGGGGAGGCCACACAAAGGAGGACAGACTTCCTAGCTGTTCTGTTTAGTTTAGTTCTGTTTAGTTGCACGTTGTGCAATGAGACAAAAGTCTTCTAGTCAAGAGGGAACGTCAGGAATTAGCCCAAATCACCTTCCCCCTGGGCCTTGGTGATCCCACCCCTTGCCATGGGAGCCGGGAGCAGCAGGAGCCATTTCCCAAACTTTGCCGATGGTGATGGCAGCACAAACGTTTCCCCATGGGGTGCTCAGGAGCTGTGCAGCAGCCGTCCCACGTGGGCGCTCCTTTCTCGAGCAGGATTCACAGCTGCATGGAAAGCCCCCGTTTCACCCGAGCGCTGTGTGTTTTGCTGGGTGGGCCTCTCCAAACACGTGGCACGTTGTCCTTGTCCCCCCGCAGAACACGCAGTACTACGACAAGCGCTGGTCGTGCGAGCTCTTCCTGCTGGTTTCCATCAGCACCTCGGTGATTCTGATGCAGTACCTGCTGCCCGCGCGCTACTGTGACCTGCTCCATAAAGCTGCTGCGCACCTGGGCTGCTGGCAGAAGGTCGACCCAGCGCTCTGCTCCAATGTGCTCCAGCACCAGTAAGGAGTTCTCCCCTGGGACTGGGGCTGGGGGGTTCTCCGAGCTGCTGCAAGCTGGTTGGGATGGGGGGCTCGGCTCAGCTTTGCAGCCGTCTCTTCGTCCTGTTGCTGCTTAAGGGAGAAAAGAGAGAAATGGAAGCGGGGTTGGCAGCTGAGAGGGTGCCGACACTGGCTGCGCTGTCCCCTTCCAGGTGTGGCCAGCAGATCCGTTCTTTGGCAAGGTGCCTCCTGCTTCTGGCCATGGATAACTGCACTCTGTCACTGGCTACGTGCCTCAGTTTGTCCCCTAGGTGGGAGGGGACAAAATCCACCCTCACAAATGCCCGCAGCTTTCTGCTGCAGAAAACGCTCCAGAGACGGCTGCCTCCCCGATGTGGGATGCGGGAGACCCCTCCAAGCCCTGTCTCCAGCTGCCGAGGTAGGATGAGGACAGCTGTGCTTGTTGTGTGCCGCAGGTGGACGGAGGAGTGCATGTGGCCGCAGGGAGTGCTGGTGAAGCACAGCAAGAACGTGTACAAGGCTGTGGGCCACTACAACGTGGCCGTGCCCTCGGACGTCTCGCACTTCCGCTTCCACGTAAGAGCCCCTTTTCTTTCTGGGGATTTCGGTACGGCGCTGGGGCAGGATCACGGCTCTGGTCTTGACCATCTTCGAGCCCCTGTGTGCGAGTAGCTCCGTGAGCATGAGAACAGCCCGGGGGAGACCTGGGAGGGCAGTGCAACAAGTGGGTGCAGGGCAGTGCTTAACATTACTCCTACGCCTCCCTGCTGTGCCTCTGCCCAGAAACATTCCAGGTAAGTGTGCGTCCCCAGAGGGTCATCCCGGTGCCTCAATCCCAGCGCGTCACCTCCAGGCTTCCCCTGTCCCATCACAAACACCTCCAGAGGGGCCTGCCTCTCCTCATGGCCTCACCATGCATCTCTTCTGCAGTTCTTTTTCAGCAAACCCCTGAGAATCCTCAACATCCTCATTCTGCTGGAAGGAGCTGTCATCTTCTACCAGCTCTACTCGCTCATTTCTTCAGAGAAGTGGCACCAGACCATCTCCCTGGCTCTGATCCTCTTCAGCAATTACTACGCCTTCTTCAAGCTGCTGCGCGACCGGCTGGTGCTGGGCAAAGCCTACTCGTACTCTGCCAGCAGAGACTCAGAGCAGAAGTTAAATTAAAACAGTTGCACTGATGCTCAGCTTCGTACAAAACAAACAAAACGAGAAACCCTCAGAGCTTTGTATTTTTGTTACCACTGCTTTTTTTTCTTTGATAACTGATGTAATTAAAGGAAAAAACATATTTTTTTACTCCCAACAGTTGTTTCTGTGTTTGTTGTCTGGGAAACTCCCAGGAGAAGGTTCCTCCTGCTTGTATTTGACGGGAGCGATTTATTAACAACGGTGCTTAGTCCTGAGCACTACAAACACTGTTTTTCTTGCTGTAGTCAGAGCTCCAGCTGCCACTGCGGGGGAAGATGAGAAATTACAGGTGCTTAAAGGTGCCACCTTCCCCCTGGAGTCCATTTATAAGTGACCTGTGAGACCTGAAGCTCTTTCTTGCGGGGACTCTGAAGAAGCTCCTTGCACCAGAACTGCTCCAGCCCATTGCAGTGAGGGCCCCCAGGGCCTCCGTGCGCACGTGGCCCTTTTTGCGCTCCTGCAAAACACTCAGCACGTAGACCTTTGGATTAACTGTTTAATACACTTGTGCACATGTGCGTATAGCAAAGAGGCAACTGTGAATCATAAGGCTACTGAGACACGGGCAGGTTCGGGGCCTGGCAGAGGCCCCCGCCGCTTCTCTGCCGCTCTTGTTCCCTTTCCATACACAACCCCCTGACAACAGTGCCAGTCTCTTCTCCCTCTCGCGCTCAGCTCCCACATGAGAGCGAGCTGCCAGTCAGGACATTAAAAGAAAAATGAGAGCAAGTCCAGGAGCTCCCTCCCGCCTGAGGCCGAGGACGGAGGGAGCAGCCCGTACCGGGCAGCGCGTCAGCTCCCTGCTGCTCAGTCTTTAACTCGCCTTGAGAGCAGAGCTGCAGGTGCAGGAGGTGACACATCCAGCTGTCCCAGTGCCCCAGGCTGCAGGAGGGCCGGGCACTTCCACACACCCGCTTTCCTGGGCTGTGCTGGGTTTTAGGGGAGCCACAGCCTGCCAATGACAAGGTCTTTTAGTGACAGGGACTGTCAGTTGAGTCTCCGTATATTATTCACACGCATACAGGGAGGTGAGTCATTCTAGTTGTCATATATATCCATATATAAAGTGTATGTTGCCCTGCATGTATTTTATATACCTCATATATATATAATTTTAAAAACCCTCCGAGACCCTAAGCTAGGAAGTCTCAAAGCCCCCAGAGGGCTGTCCCCTCACGCGTGTCCAAGGAGTGGGCCAAGTCTGCGGACCCATTCGCGCTGCCCTCCCTCGCCCTACCTCTGGCTACGGCCCGGCGGGTCAGTCGGCGCCCTGGGCGCGCTCCTCAGTCTCCCTCTGCCCCGGGGCTCCAGGGAGTTCTCCCAGGTTCTCCGCAGGCTCTGTGCTCCGGGGCGGCTTTCCTGAGTGCAGGCAGTCGTGGGCCAGGCGCTGCTCCACCGGGACCTCCGAGCTGTCCCGTGGTGGGTCCTTCGAGGCGTCCGACAGCTCCGCGTCGGCCCGCGGCGCGTGGGCACACAGGTCCTGCACCTTCTTATTGAGGTCGTTGCGCTCGCTTTGGAGGGCTCGGCACAGTTTCTCCAGGCGCTGGATTTTCACCTGCAGTCCCTCTAATTCCTTATCCCGAAGGGTTTTCTGCAAAAGGAAGAGAGCTCAGACTTTACCCATTCCAGGGAGGGGGCAGAAAGTGAGATGACACCTCAAAGAGAACTAAGAAGGGTGTTAATGGAGACCAAGTGCAGCTAAGGTGGTCTCAGACTTCTCCCGAGCACCTCAGCATTCACTAACTCTCACCATGCACAGTGGTGATGGGTTGATGGTTAGATTTGATGATCTCAAAGGTCTTTTCCAACCAGAATGATTCATCAGGGAAGGAAACTGAGCTGAAAGGACCAGTTGCCTGAGTCAGCACAGAAGGAAAAATGGCCAGAGCCTCCTTACCTCTTCAGCCATTTCCAAGAGAGCCTTGTTGCTGCTCTCCCAGCGAGAGCGGTACATAGTGGTCTCTTTCTCTAACTTCTTGATTTTCTTTGTCATCTACAGGATCACAGAGACAGAAAGAGAGAAATAAGTCAGAGAGGCAGAGCGCTGCAGCTAGGCACATGCAGGGCAGTCTCCAGCAGGCACACACTTTCCCAGCACAGACAGCGAGACGTTGCTGGCCCGTGAAACACTCTCCTTGTCTTGCTGGAATCGGCCTCCCCAGCAGGAAACACCAACAGATCGAGGAGATGGAGGGAGCCCTCCTTGTTCTAATGCATACGAGGACAGAGCGGTCACCCTGCAAGGGTGGCATGTCCCTTCTATAAGCAGCGAGCCCGTGGCTGCTTTTAATGCCAGCAAAACTGAATAGAAGCGAGGAGCTGCTGCTCCCGGGCAGGCAGAGCCTCCAGCCCCCGCAAGCTCCGTGGGGCTCCCGAGTTACCCACCTTCTCCATCTCCTGCTTAAACGTCGTGAACACTTCACTGCTTTTGGAAAGGGTGTTCTGGAATTCTTCAAACTTCTCTGTGTAGAGAGCCAGCTGCGGGGAGAGAAAGGGTGACAGTGTTCACTGCTTCCTGGCACCAAGTCCTCCTCCGAGAGCACAAGGTTTCAGTGACACCAAGCTGGCCATTGTAGGGCTGGACTTTACAACTCACAAACTCCCAGCACGGGCACGGCAGCAAGGGCAACAACCCTGCGCCTTTCTTCCAGGGCCATCCTTGGAGCAATGCACCCAGCAAACGGCTCCTGGATCTCCGCTTGCTGAGTCTGACTCAGCAAGGTAGGTCCACGTGAAAGCGCCCAGCGCTGGCAAAGGTGCCAGTAAAACCAAGGCCACTTTCTCCAAGGAGGTGGAAGACCTGAAAGAAGCCCCAGTTCACACTGCTCCCTGTGCTGATATGGGCTCACCAATGTCAGATTTAGGGACAACCCTGCTCCTGTGTTTTCCAGCTTTAGGAGCTTAAGTGGCTCACCCCTGCTAAGGGAGCAAGAAAAGCAGAGTCGGTCGAGCACACGGCCCAGGTAACTCACCTGCTGCTTGAGATGGGTCTCCTGCTGCTTCATCAGCTCACACATTCTCTGCGACTCCACGGCTTCCTTCAGCAGCTAGGGAAGAGTAAGTGCAGTGACTCTGCTGCCCGCAGGGAAGGCTCTCAGCGTGTCCCTGCACAGCTGGTGCCAGGCCCGGAGGCAGCAGAGGCCTGGGAGAAACACGGGGCGCAGAGCAGGGCTGCACAGGCACCCAGGGGAACCGTCACGGCTGGGTACACACAGACCAGAACCAATGTGGGCTCTGCCCTCAGCAAATTGACAGTACCAAACCTTTCCAGAGAAGTGGGGCAAAGAACGTGCTGCTGTTAAAACAGGAAGTCAAGGTAAGACTTACAAAGTCCTTCTCCCGCTGGTGCCTCTCCTCTGCCTCCTTCAGCATTTCCTGCGCCTGCTGGAGCTTGGCATCCACCAGCTGCTGCTGCAGGTCCTTGTGTTTGAACACCTTATCGATGTGCTGCCAAGGGGAACAACACTGCTCACTGACACGCTCAGCCAGGCCGCTTTGCCCACGTGTCGAGGGCAGCAACCCCAGGGGAAGATCGCAGGAGCCTGGAGATCCCCTCTGGAGCCAGCAGCTCTCACCACCTCAGGGACACACACGGCTGGGCCAGATGGAAGCACCAGAGCAGCCCTACGTGGGGCTCCTGCCCCAACCCACCTCCTCCCGCAGCTCGTACTGCTCGATGAGCTTCTTGAGCCGCTCCGCCAGCTCCATGTTCTCCTGGCGCAGCTTGGAGTTCCTCTCGTTGTGCTGCTCCATCTGGAGCTGGATGTCATTGAGGGTCACCTGGAAGTGGGATGTCACCTCTTTCCGCTTCTCCTCTTCCTCCCGTGCGCGCTGGACACCTTCTTCCTGCACCAGGAGGGCAGAGGCAGCGGGACCGTCAGCCCCGAAACAGGGAGGCGAGCACCCTGCCCAAACGGCCCCGAGGCTTCCCAGCCTCCCATGACTCCTTATCCCGAACGCCAAGGCCCTTGGAGCCACTGCTGGACGTGGCCCTTCCCCAGCCTGCTCCAGGCCTTTCCCCTGCACTTCTCCAGGGAACAGGCCCTGCCATAATGCCCAGGTACACTGGGTATGTCACATTTTGCCCTCCTGGGTGTCTGTATGACTTGCTCTCAAGGGCAGAGGTGGGCAGTACTGCAGGGCTGTGGGGGACATAAGGAGGTGTAGGAGTTTGCTGGCCCCGGAGACCTCTCCTTGCAGAGCTGCAGATCCAGCAGATATCAGGACTGAGAGCAACCAGCGCCGCAGGTCGCCGCTCACTGTTATCAAGAGACACGCTGGGTCCTGGATGCTGCCCCACCTGCCCTCCCCTGTGACACATGGGCATCCTGCTCTTCTCACTCACGACAAGAGCCCTCCGAGTGCTTGGGATCAGGCAGCTCCCAGAGCAGCGGGACAACACGGGGCACCTGCCTTGAGGGTGCGGTTGTGCCTCTGGAGCTCCCGGCACAGGCTCTCCAGCTTGCTGCGGGCCAGGATGGCCTTGCTGTGCTCGCTCTGCAGGTGGTCCTTCTCCTGCACCAGCTGTGTCTGCTTCTTCTGCAAGATCTTCATCTGTTTCTGCGAGTTTCGATGCTCTTCCAGCTACAGCAGAGAGGTACAAGGAAGAGATGCAGCGAAACACATCAGTGTTGTATCCTTGGCAGGGGACTGGGGAATCAAAGCAGCCCTCTCTGTCTTCTGAGAGGAAGACAAGAGCTTTAAATCACAAAAGCTGCCACTTCAGAGCAGAGCAGAAGTGCCACTGAGTATCCAAGAATGCTTTGGACTTGACCTTTCTGCTTCCCAAATCATTCCTGCTGCTGGAATGACTCTGGCAAACATATGTGTCTTGCCAGGAAATTCTCAACAGAAACACAAGGTCTGAGTAACAGAGATCAGAGAAGAGCATTTGTGTTGTCCTCTCACAGCTGGGCCTGCCAACGTGCAGCTGAGCACGGCCTGCAGAGAAAGCTCAGGGCACACGGGCCCTCGCACAGCAGACCCAGCCACGGTTCTCTCGTGAGAGAGGATGGACAAGGGATGCAACATTAAAGGAGAGGAAACGGCCCCAAAACCCTCTCCCCTGCAGATCTGCCTCCAATACCTCACTTGCACCTCTGCAGAGCGCCCAGGCAGCAATGCCTGGCTGGACCAAGCAACACCAAGCCTGGAATCTGGATAGCCAGAATCACAGGGATTCCAGAGCCTGCAAAGCTACCCGAGTGTCCCCACCCACCAAAAAAACCCAAAACAAACAAACAAACAAAAACCCAGCCACCCTCAGCCTCATCAGACAGTCTCAGCCCTCGCTGTTGTTGAGTGTCCTTCCCCAGAGCCCGGAGCAAGGAAAAGGAGGCCTCACCAGCTCAGCGTATTTCTTGCACAGCGCTGCCAGCTTCTCCTCTGGCGTGCTCAGGGTGTTCAGCGTCTGCATGAGCAAAGTGATTTCTTTGCCTGGAAGGACACACAGACTTTTATTTTATATATATCCCTTTCACAGAGTTCTGGCTCATAAGGCAAGGACAGGAGAGAGAAATCAGGTGTCTCTGCACAGTCCATCTCATGGCTACTATCTGCAGGGCCATCTCCGGGCTCTGCCCCGGAGATTTTCCTATGAATACCCAGGGAGAATCGAAGCAGGGACGGGGAGGCCTGGCCTTGAGCACGGGCAGCACTGCTGGGCTGCCCAGGCAGAGCTGTGTCCAGCAGGAGGGAAACGTGCAGAGTTCAGAGGCACTCGGTACCTTTCCTCACATACCCCAAGACGAGATGCCACATCTTCTCTAAACCCCGCCCTACATCACGCACATAAGGTGCTTATTTCACCAAGGGCAGTAAGTGCAACATGAAAAAAATCAATGTTTGCACTGAAGTTCTCAAGCCAGCTCCACACTGCAGCGGGGAACCTCTTACCAAGGCCTTTGGCTTTCTTCTTTTCCTGAGCTCTCTTCTGATCCCGCTCGCCATACTCCTCGCCGGGTCGAAACTCTTCGCTCCCTTTGGAGCTCTCCTTCTCCCCGTTCATCTCGGGGCCGCCCGGGTCCTGCTCGCCGTTCCTGGGTGACTCGCTGCGACTCTTCTCCGCCTCCTCGGGCTCCGCGGGCTCGCTCTGCCCACCGTCCTCGCCCGGCCCCTCCTGGCTGCTGTCCACGCAGTATGTGTTCAAGATGTCCTCGAGCTGCCTGCTTAGCTCCTCCGAGACGTCACGCACGGCAGGCCGGGAGGACCTGGCGTCCTCCTGGGGGACAGGAGCTGTGGGAGACGGGGACACGGCACTGTGACACATCCCCCCCGTGCTCCATGCTCTCCTCTCTGCTAAGACCCCCTGAACACAGGGCACAGCGAAGGTCTCCCCGGCGCCCCTCTGCACCCGGGCAGGCTGAACTTGCAGCAACATAAGCTGCTTTGTTCTGGCTGCGTCTCCAGCCAGCTGCCCTGACAAAAGAGGTGCATTCCTAACGGCCTCCCCTTTTGATCAGGAGAGCATGACCAAGCCCCTGACATCTGTCAGGAGCGAAATTTCACGCCCCCCACCTCCCTTCAAGGAAAGCAGGTTTCGCACGGGTTTCCCTTCACAGCAGCCGTGTGCTAATGTCCCTGGAGGGAGGCATTTGGAGACTACAATAGATTTTTAAACCCGAGTTCATCTCTCTCGTCACATATAGAACAGCTGTGCATGGTCAGATCAAAGGTATCTCATCCCCAAGAGCAACCAGCAGCGGATGCTTGGGGAAGGAGGATGCAGCGTATCCCTCAGTGCTCCTCTTAGCCTCAGAAGTTCCCCAAAACGAGACTCCTGAATGACAGACAGCAGCTCGTTATTCATTTCTAACTCCACACACTGGGCACTTGCTACGTCCCATGTTTACCGGGCATCAAAACATCAGGTATAGGGTTAATGTTAACTAAGTACTTAGTTTATGAGACATGATTTATGAGACATGTTTTCGTCTTCCCAAGAATTATTTTTATGACTTGAAAAATGCCAGTGCCAGGGCAGATCACTCCACGTGGCAGTGGCCCAAGGAAAGAGCTGTCTGACTTCTTCCTTTACAGGATCTCTAAGGCCTAAACAAAAGTAAATAACCTTACCCTTAAGTAAATAACCTTAAATAACGCTCAGGTCAGGATGCAACTCCACACATTGGAAACCCGCTCCCCAAGGAAGCAGGAACTACCTCAGAACTGCACCCAGGCAGAAGGGCTAAGAAACGAGGATTTTCTGCTCCTGACATCACAGCTGCTCTTACACAACAGCCCACCCTCCAAGGAGGAAGCAGCCACCCCGCTCCTTGCAGCTCGAAGGCCGCCTTGGCCTGGCTCAAATCCTGGGGATGGGGACACGTTGCTGCGTGTCCCGGCGGCTCCCACCTGCGAGGGCTGCGGCCGCCTCGGGGACGTCGCCCTCCTCCAGCCCCAGGCTGCTGCTGCTGCTCATTTTGGAGGAGCCGGCGCCGCGCGGGGCAGCTTTGGTCTCCCCGCCTTGGTTCTTCATCACGGCTCTTCTCCCCGCTCGGTCTCAGCCAGCCCTAGGGAAAGAGAAACAGCAGCTACGTTGACCTTTCAGAAGGAGCAGTTTGGGGGTTATAGTGGGGTCCTTCAGCTGGGAGGGAATTGTAACCCATGCATCGGGATGGGAAAAGCGACAGGGCCCAGGCAGGCTGCTGCCCAGGGTAATTATAATCAGCATAATTGTTCTCCGTGGTGAGGAAGGCTGGATGCAGCCCCTTCTAGGGCAAGGGAGCGCATCCCCAGCCCTGCCCAGCACAGCCTCCTCGGCGCCGGTGCTCCCCCAGCCTCATCGCTCTCCTCCAGAGCGTTTCCCCCATTTCACAGCCCAGCACGGGCTGCACCAGCAGCAAAGCCCCCTCCCCACACGGGAGACCTGAGGCCGAAACATCCACGGGAGAAAAGGCAGCAGCAGCCACAACAAATGCACCTACCTGGCCACAGGACCGCGCGCGGCTCCGGGGCAGATTAACTGGCATCGCCCACAAGCTGTGACTAACGGGCCGAGCTCGACTCCCGGCTCCTCTGGCCCCAGCAGAGCCCGCGCTCTCCCCCCGGCACCCATCGCTCTGCTCGCGAGGTTAATTACAGAGCGATGCTAATTACAAAGCGGAGCCCCGGAGCTCCTAGGCCGGGGCAGCGCGAGGGGAGGGCAAAAGAAGGGGAATTTTGCAGCTGTCTCCCGGCGGGAAGCGGTCGAGAGCAGCCCAGGAGGCGGCTGCGGGGCGGGAGCAGCAGCGGGGCACGTGCCCGGGCTGCCCGCGGCTGCTGCCGTCCCACGGCGGCCGCTCCGGCGCCGCGGGCACCGCTTTTCCCCGGTCGCTGCGGGCAGCGCAGCCTCCCTGGGCCGTTACCTCCGGGACCGGCCCCGTCCTGCCCCGCAGCGGCCGCTCCAGCCCTGCTCCCGGTGCACGGCGGGCCCCACGGCAGCGCCCCACACCTCCCGCCCCGTGGGGCCACATCGGCCCCCCCAGGCCCTTCCTGCCCCACGGCGCTGACCCCGTCCCCCCCCCAGGGCAACACGCCGCCCCTGCCCCCATTAACACCCCAAGACCCGCCCATTAACACCCCAACATCACCCCCCAGGCCCC